TTGACCTTGTTTTCGCAACTTGGTCATATTGGTAGGAAGACTTAGAGTAACGCACCTAGTCCGGAGTCCAGTGTATGCATGACAATTTCCAAAGTCGGGCCGTGGACGTAGTACATTCCCAAACGTTTCACCGGAATCGTAGTCGGCATCGTCAGTGAGTCTTGCCATTCTTAGTACCATACTACAACTCGTCAAAGAGACAAATGAAGCCGATACTTTGACCAACTGTGTGGTAAACATTGTGGTATCTCTCCTGTCATGGGCTATTCACTCCTCTAATATCCTCATATCACCCGTGAATTATCTTAATTTTTTTACTTGCTTATTTAAATGTGTGGTGTGCCCTTTTGAGTGGCTTTTATAAAAACCCTTCACATTCCACGCTGGCGTTCTCACCTCCCTCTACCTTTGTGCTGGAAATGTTGATCAAAATCTGCCATATTGTTAGGCAGTCCTCTTGCCTCGTAGGATCCGTCTACCATGTCCCTGGTTCAAGTATTTCACTCGATCCTTGCCACCGCATCTGTGCTACTCGAGGCGTTATTACCCATCCCCTGCGTCTGGATGACTCATTCGAGGCTAAAGCCTCTGAATAAGTCTCATGGTCAAGTCTGCTACATGGACCAGGTATATGGTAAAACAGGCCTATTATCAGCCAACTAGCACCAATCTCCGCCGCGTCTAGCCTGCTTTTATCCCTAATATCAAGTATATGAAATGCTATGCCCTAGTCTCATGTGTGCCAACCCACAAATGTTGTGATACTGCTTGCTTTGATTAGGTTCAATATTGAACCCCAACGTTTGTTAGTTGGCACACAAGAGACTAGGGTACAGGACGTCATAAACTTGGTACTACGGATAGAAACAGGATAGATGCGGTCGAGGCTAGAGCTATTTTACTAAAAATAGGTGTGCTTCATGAATCACGTCTATGATCAAACACGTCTATTGTTAGCCAAATAGCTCTAGTCTCCACCACGTCTATCCTATTTCTATCCATAATAACATGTCTATCATTTCCTATTTTCTAGTCTCTTGTGTGCCAACCCACACATGTTGTGGTTTTACTTGATTTGATAAGGCTCAGTGAAGACGTCTCCTCTTTGCTTCTGATTGTTCTTTTCTGGTCTCCTTGAGATTTCTTCTCTTAAAATTAAGGATGTTACCTTGATCCAGTCGTCTTCTTTTTGCCGATCTTACTGTTGTCTGGTCTTCTCTGTGTTTGTTTAGGCAATATGCAAAGTTTTCGCTGAACATGCCTTTTTCAAGTCTCCTGTCACGGTCAGTTTGTCCAACTTCTTGTTTCAGAACTTAGTGTCCTTACCATTGTAATGAAAATCTAAATGAATTCCTCTATTGCATTAACCTACTTGATAAAATAATTAAATTTACCATAGAGATTGAGGAAGCTGAACGATTACCCCTTATGGATATTGAAGTCATGCGCTCCAACGGGGCACTTATGAGGAGATTATACAGAAAGCATTCATATGCGGGAATCATCCTTATTTTTAGTTTCAGCATAACTACGGATTGAATATCGGAATACTGAGAAGTTTGATCATCAGAAACTTACGACTAACGGACACTGAGTTCTGGGACGAGGAGTTGGACAAACTGACACAGATTTGCCTTAGTAATAGGTACTCCAGAGAATTTATATAAGAAAAAATGTAAAGGTTATAAAGGACAGATATTAACTCGGGTTTTATGAAAATCTGATTAGAAATCAGGAGATGACCAGAAGTGGATTTGCCTGCCCTCATCATAACTAAGCCATTAATTGTGACCGTTACTGAGGAAATGGAATCGCAAGGTGGTAAAAAATGGAGAAGAATACACTTTTTGCTAGTCTACTGACGCAAAACGAGAAGACTAACAAACTTGATTGCTCGCATCAAATGTGGCTACAGTGAGCAGAAATATATCGGTAAAAAAGAAAAAAATCGGTCTACGAATCAAGGAACATCAAAGACTCTTGAGGAGCATGGATATGGAAAGATCAGATAAGGAACACATGGCAGGAACGGGACACTAAATCGACAGTATGCATATATACGAAAACGCAAGATCCGAGAGGCAATCAGTATACTGACCAAGAGAAATCTGATGAACAGGCGACTCGAAGAAGACAGGATCAGCGAAAACTTTGCATATTGCCTATACAAACTCAGAGAAGACCAAGCAACAGTAAGATCAGCAAAAAGAAGATGGATGTATCAAGGAAACATCCTTAATTTTAAGAAAACAAATTTTTGGGGGACCAAAAATGAACATTCAGAAGCCAAAGGAGACATCTTCAGTGAGCTTAATCAAAACAAAAGAGCCACAACATTTGTGAGTTAGCACACAAGAGACTAGGAAATAGGAAGTGTTTGACATGGTATTATGGATAAAAACAGGATAGATGCGGCAGAGACTAGAGCTAGTTGGTTGACAGTAAGCCTCTTTTACCATAGACGTGGTTTATGTAACACGTCTCGAGATCTCAGCTTTCTGCCCATATGCTTCATACGTCTGCCATATCTCTTTGCTTCCATATCAGATTATATTTACATTTATTTTTATTGTCTCATGCAGATTGATCGATTTGGAGCTGTGACTAAATTTGTGCGAATAGGTCATCGGTGCACCGCATTGTGAACCCAGTGAAACTTTGCTAAGCTTTCGTTCATTGTGTAACGGATATCGTTAGAGTAGGACGTCATACTTTGCGATAACCTACCAAAACACGAAGACTAGATAGGTAGCCTGCTACAAACCTACCTACTTATAGTCCAACTTTGTCTACTTGATGAAGCACCTCATGATTTCCTATACTTTTCCTAAATGTGGCTGCGGATGACATGTGATGTGGCCGCAGGTGAAGTATGAAGCGGGTGAAATTGTGGTCGAACAGCTGCAGGGCTGAGGATTCAGCCGATTCAGCATCCGTATCACGCTCCATTTGCAGCCACTACCCATCGTCCGCATAATGATTGAGTTAATTATATTGCGCTATGTATATAATTTAGGAGCAAAAAGGCTCTCTTGATTAATATTAGGCAAGTATTAGGTTTTGCTTATTCATTCTTGTTTTTGTATAAAGTTACCAGCTCTTCAAAGTCCCCTCTTTAACTTGATTGCAACTTATATTCCCTTTTCTAATTTCATTTAAAAATATAGTGACTGTATTGGGGGCTGAATTTCCCATCAGTGAGCTTCAATTTGGGCTGCCCGATTTGTTTCTTTCTTTGACATAATTTGACTTATTTGTATTTAGGTTACATATCAGTAAAGTATCTTTATTTTTTACTTTTTATCTATATCTACATGCTATTATCTAATTTTCATTTATTTTCTTCGAAATAATTTTTAGTTGGCATGCATGAATTTGATGGTACCACCTGGTTTACCCTTGAGTTCACTGGACTCCTTGATCAACTTCCTGCTAAGCCTTTTACTTGGGCCTTCCGAAGGATCGGACTTTTGTGGAGACAAAATCTTGCAGCTGAATCGAACTGTGCCTTTCGGATTGGACTCTTCGAGCTCCTTGATCCGGATTGGCTGGCTCGTGAATCCTGTGGCTTTTAGAATAGTCTTCTCTGGGATTCATAAATTTTTCTTAATTTTCTTTTTGAAAATTTTTTTTCAACTCATGATTATACCTCCATTTTCATTTACTATGGAGCCTAATTTCATGAATATTCCGAAGTTTATACCTTGTGATCTGTTTCTCTTGTCATTATTCGGCTATCTGTATCTATTCTTTTCACGACATATACTTTCTGCAATCACGCTTTTAGTGTAGTTAAACCATCTAGATTCCAAGTTTTACTCCATACTCTAATAGTATGCTTATAGTAAGTAGGTTTTGATATATTAACTAAGAGCTTTAGTCGCCTTTAATCAAATAAGAAGATAAAGGATTGATAGGTTAGTTTTCCTAGATTAAACTTCAGGGTGCCATTTATTTTTACTTAGCCTTCTCTTCCATTCTGGATAGACTGCAGTTTTAACATCTTGGCCTCATTATCACCTCAAACAGGAATTGAATTCGGTCCATACAGTGTATATTTTCGACATGTTTACAGGCGTTGATTGTTACTGCAAAATACAAGTTTGTCTTATCGCCAATCCTACTATAAAATGTGCAACGGAAATAGCCCGACTTGCCTTAAGATCCAAAACCTCTATTAAACATCGGGAATTATGTCAGCTTGGTGTAGTGGCAGCACGTTGAAATTGTACGCTGTTCTACTCAGGTTAGGCTCCCTGTGTGAGTTATGAGGTGCCATAGGAGAGCTCAAAACTCCAGTTAACCATGGTAGAGAATAC